GAAGGGGAGCCGTGCACATTGGGGGAGGAGGAGGAGGAGGAGGAGGAGGAGGAGGAGGAGGAGGAGGAGGAGGAGGAGGAGGAGGAGGCGGCGGATGAGCAAGAGGATGAGCAGGAGGAAGAGGATGAGGATCAGGAAGGAGGAGGAGGAGGAGGAGGAGGAGGAGGCGGATGAGCAAGAGGATGAGGATAACGGAAAGTAATAGCAGCAGGAGCCAGGGTAGGAGGAGCAAGGATGGCGGATGTGCAGGAGCATGGGCAGGAGGGAGAAGAGAAGGATGAGGAGGGAGAAGAAGAAGCAGCAGGATCAGCAGCAGCAGGAGCAGGAGCAGGAGGAGCACGAGGGCCAAGAGGACCAGGGGGGGAGGCGGAGGAGGGGAAAAGGAGAGAGGGGCGGCAACGGCGAGGAAGAGGTCGGATCCGGGAGTGTGGCCCGCGCTGGGGCGAGGGCGCAATGCAGAACGGCGGGAGAGAGGCACCGATCCTGAGATAAGGCGAACGCTACAGCTGGAGCACCGTTTCTGAGAGACAAAAAAACTCAGGAGAGGAAAAAAGCACACAGGCACCATTAATAGTCGATACCCCAGAAAATATAGGAAGCTATGGGAATTGGGCGGGAAGACAAAAGCCCAGAAAATATGGGAAACCATGGGGGAACATTTTATTCGTGTGTATTTGTTTGTGTGTCCCAGGGCCCCTTTCAAAAACGCTCCGACTGAGACCCACCACATAGGATATGGAATACTTCATGGCACCCTGCGCTTGCAGAGGGAACGCGGGAAAGCCAGCGGCAGCATTGGACAGTATCAGGAGAGAGGGGGGAGTCGTACCCAGATCGTGCAAGGTGCGGAGAGTAAGGGAGAGGGACACGAGTGACGGGAGGGGAAGGCGAGCGAAGAGGAGGCGGACGAGGGAGAGGAAGCAGCAGGGAAGGGGAGGGGGAGGGGGAAGGGGGGGCAGCTCAGGAGGAGAAAGCGGAGCAGGAGGAAGAGTTTGATCCAGGAAGATGGGGGAAGGAGGAGGAGGACGACGACGACGACGAGGAGAAGGAGGACAGGAGGGGAGGTGGAGGATGACAAGGAGCATGAAGGGGGGAAGAGGAGAAGGAGGAAGTGGACGAGAAGTGTGAAGAGGAGGAGGAGGGAGGAGGAGGAGGAGGAGGCGGGGGAGGAGGACAGGAGGAGGAGGAGGGGAGGGAGGAAGAGGAGGAGGATGAGGAGGGGAGGGGGAGGATGGGGGAGGAGAGGAAGGTAGGAGGATGAGGGAGGAGGGAGGAGGAGTAGTATGATGAGTAGGAGAGGAGGAGAGGAGGAGGAGTAAGCTGAGGAGGAGGAGGAGTAGGGAGGAGGGAGGGGATGAGAGGAGATGAGAGGATGGGGGTAGGATGGAGGAGGGCATGAGGAGGAGGAGGGGCTGGAGGAGGAGGAGAAGGATGAGAAGGAGAGGAGGAGGAGGAGGAGGGAGGGAGGGGATGAGGAGAGGGGGATGACTGGAGAGGAGGAGGAGGAGGATGGGAGGAGGAGGGAGGAGGGAGGAGGAGGAGGAGGAGGAGGAGGAGGAGGAGGAGGAGGCTGCGCAGAGCGGGCGCACAGAGAGTGCGCGCCCAGCCAGGAGCTGAAGGCCCAGATCCAGTCGAGGGAGGAGAAAGCGTACCAGGACATCCCCCCTCGTCTTGGTATTGTGGCCCTCTTGATGTGGCCCCTCGCGGAAAGGAAGAGAGGAGACGAGAGGCCGAGGAGGGGGGGGGAGAGGAGGTGGTGGTGAAGGAGGAGGAGGATAGACGGAGGAGGAGGAGGAGGCGGAGCAGGCGGAGGACAATGTAGAGAGGAGATTGGACAGGATGGTATGGAGGAGGAAGGAGGGAAAGTGAGGAGGCGGAGGAGGAGGAGAGGGAGGAGGTGGAGGTGGAGGAGTTTCAGGTGTTCCAGGAGTGACGACAGCGAGGTCCGAAAGAACGGGGCAGGAAGCTTCGGCTCGGAAAACGGAGAAGGTGCGGACGGTGAGACCCGCCCCTTGTCCTCTCTCCAGCTGGCCCTCTGCTTTGTCAGACGCACCTTCGCTTATTGGCAATGCTTGGAACATCCTTCGCGCCGCTCGGACCTCTGAGGGGTGCCTTGCAGGAGGGGTCGGGACTTCCACGGGGGGCCGCCTTGACAAAGGCACGGCGTCCCCAGACCCCCTCGCGCTGCGAAAAAAAAATCACGATGGGACGTGTTTCGCTGTGTCCAGCCGCTGGGGGCCCTTGCCGGGCCCCGGGGCTATCACGAAAAAACAGAAAACAAAAAACACACACAAAAAAAGAGAGAGAACAAAACAAAACTCGGGATGGAAAACCGGTCCCAGGGAAGGGGTCCAGACCTCTGGGGGTCGACGCTGTGAAAAGAACACGACGTCGGAGGGCTGGGTCGGAGGTCTCGGGAGCGTCTCCCGGCCTCGATCCCGAACAGCACCGATTGCCTCCGAGAGGTTGCCGCAGACGCATAATGCAGAGTGTGGACGGA